TCTGCACAAGAATGCCGGAATTGTCACACCTGTTGTCGACGTCCAAAGCATTATCTGTTATGCATGCCAAAGCCCATTCACTTGACTGTCAGGTAACTTGTCTAATCTAATGATAATGATAAATCAGACACGTATTTTAGAACACAAAGCGTCGTGTATGATTGGAATAATAGCCCCAGTTATGCCCGCTACGCTGGCACGCTGCAGCCCTTCTGTCTACGAGAGTGAAATATGTCAAGAGTGTTTTTGTTAATGCAACACTCTGTTAATGCAAAATGTTAATGCAAAGAGTCTTTCAAAATTGATTTCGAGTTTAATTATGTTTTTCTCTACCCAGTTGTTTTTACAATGTCTTTACTGTAAAATAACATTTTTTTAGATTGTCTGGGGAGGCTTGTACCAGGAAAAAGCGGCTTTGTCAACTGGCGAGTCCATGGAGCAGTTTTTCTCCTATCTAGCTAAATGCGGGTTAACTACCAAGAACATGAATGCAGCTGGTATCTAATTTTTTTAAAATACTTATCTAGACGAAGTTATACCAAAGTTATGGAAAATGTCTTGAGCGAATACAAAACATTGAGTTTTGTTTAATTTAAAACATTGAGTTGCGTCGTGACATTGATTAAACGTTTTCCTTGATGTACTTTCTTCAAGTACTTGTAACTTAAATGAAAGTGAAGTTCATCTATGTTTCTTATTTCAGCTCGAATAGATTCGCTAACAGAACACACGGCGTTCTGGAACAGAAGGAAAATTGATAACTTGGCATTTTCATTATCAAAGCAATACAAAAAGGTGTCCTTTTAATTTTTTTAAGTTTCATCATTCTTTTTATCTTTTTCTCTCCTTTTAATCTCATTCTTTCCTTTACAAATCTGTATTACATATAAATTTAAGAAATTCTTTATATCCAAACCCGCAACTTTTTGTTTTATAGACAGTAAAGAAACTTAAGGAAACGGAGGATGGAATGAATTCATTACAAGTTGACTTTAGTGTCAATATAGATGAGGCCCAAATTCAAGACTGGGAAAGAGAATTGCGAAGAAATGCCCGTGGTAAGGAGGATGAATTAAACGATATCTTACGTTTCTCTAAAATGATAGATTTGCAGAAACTCTCATAGTGCTACTTAGATGATGCCCTATTTTTATTCAATTTTTTGGATTTCAAATGTGTTCTAGGCTCTCTCCAGCAACGCAGTTCAACAACCATTGTTGAATCTTTAGAGGAGTATTACAAACTCTACAACGAGCTTGAAGATGCATCCTCTCTCCAGACATTCATTGCAAACTCGAGCGAAGCCAGAAGTATAATTACAGGTTACATTCTATTTGTATTAATTTGATAAAAGCTTTGCTCATCGCTCGAAAGGATAATCTCTTCTATGCGTGAATCATGTTGCCTATACTACATTTTTAATTTTGTTGTAATCTATTATTTTTATATTTTAAAATTAAGAGATATTGAATTTGTGCTTTTATGCTATATGTAAGCGGCATTATGATCAATGTTCACGATAGAAGATAGGTATTTCACATGAGATGAATGTGAACAATTTTAGCAATATTTGATAATATCACCGGCAATGCTCATTACATTATAAGAAATCTGATCTGCTGTTTCAGGTCACGACGACATGTACCAGCTTATTGTCAGCAGCAATAAGGATACAACTGCAAAGAGAAGGCGGCTGGAGCAGTTAGAAACCCAACTGGCGTCAAAGGGTTACAACAAAGACAACATCCTTAACGACGGGAAACAGTTGTCAGCGAATAATGCCTTGGCCATATTGCAGACCAGAATTGTTCACATTTATCTAAATGTGCAACAATTACAGCTTGAAATTTCTCGACTAGCAGGTGACATTGATAAAGTTATTTCAAACTGATAATGTAAAGGAAATGCCAGCTTCACGCTAAAATATTTGCAGTCTGCAATTAATACTGTGCTATGCTAGTGACATCACAAGGAGAATCGCTTTTTAATACTTTTTATTTTTAAATATGGAGCCTTGATACATTCCCCTGGAAATGAAATTGGCTTACCTCTTGATAAACAAAATATAAACTTATTTCGTCTACAGATACGTCAAAGAAACGAACCAAATTACGTCGGAAGGTTTCTTCTACTGTTGTATTGCTTAACACTACAGTAGAAAAATACAACAAAGTCGCCCAGCTTCTTCAAGTACGAACCCTGGATCCAAATGATGTTAAAGCTGGGAAGTTCTCGTGGAAGGATCAAGAAGGTATGTGTTCTTTCTGAAATGATTTGCTCTCTTTATTTGTCAAATTCTTATGAAAAAAGGAATTAACAAATTAGCTGCGTGAAAGTTATCTTCAAAATTGCACTATAATCAGAAAGGAATTATGTTTTTAGAAAAAGACCACGAATTGCTCTCAGACATAATACAAGCTTGACCCAAAGATTAAGAAACAAACATGGTTGTTGCTGTAGAAATGTTTCTACCAATATAATAAAGTGTTTCTTTTCGAAATCAGTATTTTAGTTGAAGGTATTACTTTTCCAGCTTCCGCACAAGCAACACTTACAGAATGGCAGCAGAAACAACTGGTCGACAAATTCGTCATCATTAAGCGATGCAAAGAAGAACTGCTACTTTGTTTAGAAGAAATGAAGCTTTTTTGCGTCTTTTACAAAAACTTAATTGCCAAGCTGCAAGGAGACGTTTCGGTGCTCAAAAGAAGAATTTCAGGTTTTTATTTTCTCCAATTCATTTCAATGCATTTACCAATTTGGGTAGATTAACAGCAACACTATTTTCAACTTAATCTAGTAATCACACTTATGGATCAATCCACCCTATTTCTCTTTTGACATATCATTCTCTATAAGAATTTTACAATTTTTGATAGATCTGGAAGCTGGCTGTACCGTTGCCCAAGTCGTTTCAGAACTTGTGATGGATTCCTTTTCCATTGCTAAAAAGGTGCGCATACAGTTATCACATAAATTTGTCTTTACAACTTTAAAGTATGTGACTTTTATCATAGAAGATATCACTTTAAATCATAGAAGATTATCATAGAAGATAACACTTTTTGTGGTTTTGTTAACCCTTTAATTTTTACTCTAAAGCATTTCTTTAATCACGTTTTCATTACAGAATCATGTATAGAGGACAAAGACAATGATATTTAAATAAGCTTTTACTTTATGTGTGTTTCAACAGGAATCGTTTTTGCGCTGTTTGGAAAACGAGGTGCTCCATTCTCTATTGAAAGGCGTCTTGTCTTTAAAAAAGAAAGGCACCGTTGCATACAAAAGAAAGCTGTCTGCTAGTGCAGAACTTTTCCAAAAGGCTGTGGGAGAGGCCCCTGAATTTTTTATGGACATTGATGAAGGTGTGGATGAAGATGTTGACGATGATTTAGAAGAAGACCCGGTGGATGAAGAGAATGATGGGTTGAACGACGACTCCATTGATGCAGTCGTAGATAGTGTAATATTTACTTAAAAGTGTAAATAGCGTAATTTTTATTAATTTCACTTGCGAAACGTTTGGAAAAGTGCACTGTTACAACAATATATCTAATATAATTTATGCCCAGTCGAAAAGATATCGGTTTCTAATTAACCAAAACAATCATTTTGTGAGCTACCACTGCACAAATTCTCCATTTTCAATAACGTAGTTCAATAACGATATCAAATTTGTTTTTATCCATTATGAATTCATTATTTAATTTATATTAATATAATTTCCCTTGATTTGTGATCTTCTGATTGGATTCAAAAATGTCCCAGTTGCTAACCTCGCCTTCTCCAGAAAAATATTTGAAATGAAATATTTGAAATGAAATATTTTTGCGAAATTACTTTAGTATTCTTTTATAGCTTTTGTCAGTTGATTGGCACTCAACCCAGGGGCCGATTGGAATCCTTTTTGCATATCAGGAAATCGACCTTAAGGGGTCCAGAAGGTTGCATTTTGCGCCTTTGGTATGATTAATTGTAAGAATGCATCTAGAATTAACTATGTTGTGCATATATTAACTTTTAAGCAAGTCGTTGTCCAGATTCAATAAACGGTTTCACAAAGATTTCGAAGTTTTATTTATCCATCACTCTGCATATCATGAGTAGGTAGCCTTTGGTTGAAATCGGGAACTTTTGAAAAATTTATAGGACAATAATCCACGTGGCGTTCCAAAGTACCTTTGAGTGGGTGGGGGTGCAGCAAAGGAAATTTACATGCATTTTTTGTTTTATTTATCAATCGCTTTACTGAAAACCTGGCTGCACATTTTTTCATACGAACAATTTTATAAGAACACTAGCCTCAAAATTGGTCAAAAGTCAAGAGCAAGTAAAGAACAAGCGAAGGCCGAGTAAATGATGGCTTACTCACTTTCATGGCAATCAAACACTCCTTTTGAGTACAATAGCTAGAGATTTTTGTGCTTACCCACTAACAAGAACAATCCAAGTTCAGAAAAAAAATAAAAACAGCCAGACTGAACTTCAATTTACTGGTTCCAGTAAAAACGATATATTTTAAAAACTGAGCTGTCATGGAGGTTTTTTGGGGGGAGGGAGGGGTACATTAGCTGCTCCATGAAACTCCGCAGCTTCACCAATAGGGTAAGATCAAGATTGCAAAAGGCTTTTGCTACTGATATGAATCATAGATAACGTAAGATCGTCAAAAGCAACCGCTATTTATTTCCCGTGTTAATTTGCCATGGTGATTGTGTACGTGTTCATTAAAGTCGATGAAATATTTCTTCCTTCTCCTGAAAACTGAATTGGCATTGAGCAACTTTTACTTTGCCCATCTTAAAGCTATTTGCTGCAGATCAGTTTTACATAAAAATATCTTTTTCACAACATAGAAGCATCAAAGAATTTACCATTTCATCCTTTGTTCTTGATCGAAAGAAAATCTATATAATTGTCAAAGAGCCAAATGTCCTTTGTTTTTTGGAACTGAAAAGGGTGATTGGAGGGCAAGTGCAAATGCCCGATTCGTAAGATAAAGCACTCGACTTTGATCAAATACTTCTGCTGCCGCATCTTTGATTAATGTTTTGTGGCTTCTCATCACCGTTATCATGACAATTTATGATAAGATTTTAGGAGGTCTACAAAGTGCAGG